TGGGCAGAGTCTTCGGCCACGTCTTCGTCTTTTTTGTCGTCTTGAACTCTTGTCTGGCCTATCCGCATGCGCAGAGATCTTGGCGGGGAAATTTAAAGTGAGCATGCAACCTGCTAGCTGCATCTGTCAAAAGAATTTTCTTCTTCCGCTCCGTTCTCTTCGACTTTGACATTGAGGTTCCGTTCTTTTCTTTTCATACCGGTGCCTTTGTTCGTACCTTCACCTTCACCATGACGAAAACATTTGATAATGAGGCCGAGGCTTGCCTGTTGCGGATTTGGTGCCAGATTTACGCTTCCAATGACAAGGCATGACAAGGTATGTTCGTGGTCCTACCCCTATGTTCTTTCACAAATCCCATTTCCATTGTCGACATTGAGGTGGGGATGTGTGTCCACTCCCAAGACGCACCAGTACTACTGAAGCCAAGTGCCAACAAATTATTAGTCACAGGTTTGTTCAAGTCTCTCGTATGGTTCAGCGAAATCTGAATACTGTCATTTGCATATATGACATGGGAAAATCAAGTTAAGAAATTTATCTTGGTGGAAATCCAAAAATCACACATTCACCTTCAACAAAGCCTTGCATGGGTTGTCTGTTTTGTTCCAGAAAATGAAGACTCGTGTTGTCAAGGAGAGATATGCAACCGAGCTCCTAAATCTGGATATGCAGGCGCGGGGAAAGGAGGTTCAGTGAAAGTGAAGTCCACAATAAGATTGATCAGGTAAGCACATTGCACACATGGAGTTCTTGTAATTCTACAGCTACCTGCTGCGGGGCTGGAGCGACACATTAGCGCTGGGGTATTTGTGGGTCCGACGCTGCCTCCCTTGACTTGCCTCTCTGGCAACTGCATGCAACTCTGTGGATTCTAGTGCATGATGAACACACAAGGGGTATGTGAATGATTTTGAACGACAGCGGCGCCACTTGGCTCTGTCTCCAGGTATACACTCCGATTGAGATGTGCACCCCAATGCTACCTGCCACAAGGGCCTGAAGTTGCCCCGAAGGATCATTGCAGCATGACTATTGGATAGCCCCCATTAGTAGCAGATGTGACCTAAAATTGTGATGTGTTCTCTGTCTGTGTTACTGTGCATGTTGCTCTGTAGCTGAGAAAGAAGGGACGTGACATGTATAAGCAGCACCAGCTGCCCACTGCTACTGGCACATCACTGGACGAGTCCAAATTTGACCTGGAGGCAGCTTGTGCAGCTTGGTCCAACTTCCAGCTGTTCCACTCGCTGTTCTTCGGAAACCCGCAGTGGGGACCGGGTGAGTCAGCTGATAGCTTGGTCCAATCAGGACCTCCTTCTGTGCTGCAAACACCATCTACCTGTGTGAGCTCGCAGTCTTCTACCGTGTCACCAACAACACCAACTGCTCCAGCTATGGCTGAACCTACTACTGCTGCTGCTCCGACCATTCGCCCACCCATGGCAAATGGCAGTGAGGCTCTAGATGATGCTCTATATCAGAGGGTACAGACTGTCGATTCTGACAGTGATGATGGTGATGCCTTTGAAGATGAACAGGCAAGTAGTGCCCGTTCATATACCACATCTACTAGTACCACTATCAGGGTGGCTGCCAGGAAGAGACCGAGGACGGATCGGCAAGCCTACAAAGTGGGTGGAGTTCTCCAGGAGCTCCAAACTATGCAGACCGGGCTGCAACAGGCTCAGATGGTGCATGAGGAAGACATGCAGCGGAGGTGGTTGGACCATGAGCGCAAGCGTGAAGAAGAAGCTCGCAAATTAGAGGAGGAGCTCCATGGGAGCAGAGTTGAGCATGAAGAGGCGATGGAGGAGAGGCGGCTGAAGGCTCTTCATGAGGCTCAGCTCAGGGACGTGGAGGTGAGAACGAAGCTCGCGCAAGAGTCAGCTGCTCACGCTCAGCGGCTGCAGCAGGACAATATGCAGTTTATGGCTGCTATTCTTGCGCAAATTAAGAACACATAATTAAATTAATGTACATTTGTTCTCATCTAGTTTGCAGAAGTCCCTCACGTTTCCTCCCCTTCCGAAGATTTGCAGTGCAGGCAACACACATACACACACACAGTGACTGGCTGGAAAACTGCAAAATACAATGGTTTTGAGTACGCCAGCGACAACATGCTAATACTAATCATTGACGTGGTGGAATGCGTGTTTCGACATATCTAGCCAACAAAGACATAATGTCAGCAGCACTGTCATTGCCCGCAGGCACTTGCGGATCACCGGGCACACGGCATTTTTCTGGAATCCAAGATTCCTCGAACGGGCACTGGCAACGTTCGCAAACATTATGCAATACTGCCGCAGCCAGGGCAATTCTTCGAGCGAATACCGGATCCCGGATAAAATTGTGTATCAGTATGCCCCATCGTCCCTTCAGCCGGCCAATCGCATTCTCCACTACCCGCCTGGTGCGGATACAGCAATAGTTGAATGCAGATTGCCTAGGTGACAGGTGGCCATTGTCATCATAACACTTCATCAGCGTCGGATTCAGCGCAAACGCAGAGTCTGTAACCAGGAATGGCCTAACTCGCTTTCCTAAAACACCGACAGAGGATGCGGATGGGAGCAACGTGTCTTCATTGATCAAACGCTGCAAAGTCGATGAATTCCATGTGAAGGCATCTCCCATTCTGCCTGCACGGCCTGCGTCAATAAACGTGATGACACCACGTGCATCAACGCACAGGAGTAGGACTATGGCTGGGTAGTTCTTGTAACAGACGTATGCATCTCCATACTGTAAGGGTTAGTGGATGGGCATAAAAGTTCCGTCCAAAGCTCCGCCGCATCCCGGCCGAAAGTACAAGCCTCTAAAATCGTTAGAACTTGCTCCAGCTCCCTTCCTGTCGGAAAAACAATGGCATCACTAACAATACTCTCGAACAGAGCTAGTCCATCGTGAATCATTCCATGAACAGTTGAGGTACCAAGGCTGTATGTATCGGCCAAATCCTCCATAGTGTTCCCATGGGCCATCCAGTGGAGAAATACTGCCATCCGCTTGTGTCCTGGAATGGCTTCTCTCATCCGAGTACTCTGTTTTCCCAATCGGTGTCCCACGATGTCATAAAGCTGATAAAACGTTGTTTTGTTCACACGGAATTTCTTCATGTATTTCCTGTCCTCATAGTCAGGAAACTGCAAACCTTTCCGTCTCCACATTCCCAAAACTTTCGTCTCCCACAGACCTTCAATAGGGCTTGAAAGTGCTACGTCACAGCATAGCAACAATTTCAAAAATTCAAAAACTGGATCCACTTGGATCCAGTTTTTGTATGGATCCAAGCACATTTCAAGCGGTCTTACTCACAGCAAGGTGATGTAGCCAGTGAAACTGACTGATTTGGCTACTGGGGGCGGGGTTACAACTGGTGGCGAAGTAAAAGCCACCCCTGCATACGACATGAGTGGGTTGCTATGCACCCACATACTGAGGCAATAGCAAAGTCACACCTTACTGGATCCAAAATAGAAATCTGACGTACTATTACTACTCCTTAGCTGTTATTGACGTCATCACTTTCAAGCCCTATTCGGCATGAATTCTCCTCGTGAGCTGACCAAAATCGGCGCTTCATGGGAAACAACGAAGCAAGCGCGTACAATCCCGGTATATCCATGTGATATGACCTGCAGTTGAAGAAGCGAACGGGAGGTCTGCGCTTCTTTCTAGATGACCGAATTCCAGACAGAGGACATATTAGCATGTCAATAGGGACATGGTGAAGCTGTTCATATGCAATCGCTTGATCGGGAAGCAATTGCCCAAGGCCGCGCCACAAAAGTAAAAGGAAGAGCCGAAGCACGCGTGCTTCCATCGCAGGGCGTAATATTCTTCACCTACAAAAGCGAAATAATGATGACCACAAAACTAAAACTGAGAACTGTTTGGTCTTCCTCGAGGCTGGCTGGTACATGGTGTGGAAACTACAGAACTGCCCAAGATTTTTTTATTTTGAATCTACTCGCATGCCGTTATTTTTTTTGCCCATGGACTGCTAAAAATGTTGCTGATTGTTGGCAAAACGATGTGTTCGATGTGTGTATGTGTGTGAATCGACTTGTGCAGCAAGTCGACGTTTTGGCTGAAAACGACGTCACAGAAAGACGCGAGTGTGAAACGGCTATAACCCACATCTAGTATCACCTTTGCCCATGTCCACGTCATTCCTGATGATGGTGATTTTATGACTGAAACGTTGAAATACTCTCTACTTCAAGTAATTTCAGAAATTTTCGGTGCTCAATATTTTCGGTATGAGGGCAAAAGGCCAGGTTAGGTGAACAGAAAGTTTAGGTACAGAGAAGCAGTAACTGAGTTCCCTATTGGATTACGTGTGTTAGTGTTTGTCCGGTGTATAGAAATTTTAGGTATGAAACACATGCACCGAAAGTACGGAAAATAAAAGTACTGTACACCGAAAATTTGTGAAATTACGGTAGTTTTTCATGAAATAAACATGTGAAAAGCAGGGATTGTGTGTGAGCAAGTGTTGCTCACAATCCACGCTTACCTTTGTCCTATTGGCAGAGAGAGACGTGGCAGCGACACTGCTGGATGACTCCGCGCTGACATACTTGCATAGATAGTACGGACCACCAAGCAAACTACAACACAACGGAATACACACGGAATACACGTGCACACACGCATGAATGCACATGTACACACGCACACACGCACATGCGTGCACACACACACACACACACACACACACACACACACACACACACACACACACACACACACACACACACCCACACACACACACACACACACATGCACATGAATGAATTGAAACTTGAAACTAAGAGTTGCAAAAAACTAGGCTTAAATTGTTCCACTATTGTGCTGGGTTTGAGGATAGATTGTAAATAGAGAGCTTTTCTGCAAAACGAAATTCGAACGAAGTTTCGCGACAGGCCTTGCGGAACTGTGTGTGAATTTTCGCACGAACTTTGTGTTCTGCACATTTTCGTAGTTTGCACGCGCCAAGTGCACGTACGACATGACCCAATCTCACGAATCTTCCCACGAAAGTTCATTTCGTGTTCCCTGCAAGTTTCGCGTCCAAAGTTGCGAAAGTTCGTGCGAAGTTTCTCACTTCATGACGTAGAGCGAAAGTTCGTACACATTTTCGTTTTGCAGAACCTCTCCAGTAGAACCCAGCACTCTCCTCTGAGTCACTGTGGTCTATCTCCCCCAGCTCTCTCCTCTGAGTCACTGTGGTCTATCCCCCCCCCCCCCCCCCCAGCTCTCTCCTCTGATTCACTGTGGTCTATCCCCCCCCCCCCCCCCCCAGCTCTCTCCTCTGAGTCACTGTGGTCTATCCCCCCCCCCCCCCCCCCCCCCAGCTCTCTCCTCTGATTCACTGTGGTCTATCCCCCCCCCCCCAGCTCTCTCCTCTGAGTCACTGTGGTCTATCCCCCCCCCAGCTCTCTCCTCTGATTCACTGTGGTCTATCCCCCCCCAGCTCTCTCCTCTGAGTCACTGTGGTCTATCCCCCCCCCCCCCCCCCCGCTCTCTCCTCTGAGTCACTGTGGTCTATCCCCCCCCCCCCCCCCCAGCTCTCTCCTCTGAGTCACTGTGGTCTATCCCCACCCCCCCCCCCCCCCCCCCCCCCAGCTCTCTCCTCTGAGTCACTGTGGTCTATCGCTCTCCCCCTGGATATACCACTCCTCATATTGGTCATAGACCAAAATGCCGAACAGTCGTATGCAGATGTGAATCTTGCCTGTACCAGAAGTGGGTCCCTGACCACCGGGACGGCACAGTCCAGTCACCACAGGCGGATGTGTCACTATCCTGTGAAGGGAAACCACCCAAGCGTGCGCGGATCCAACTGGATGCAAGCCTTATCAGGACTCTGCCGACCTGGCTGTGACGTAACACTTTCAAGCCGTACGCAAGTTTGCAAAGTCTACTTTGAAGTATTAAATCATCCTTACCCTCGTCATTCTTAGATTTCGACACGTAACACGCACGTTCAACACAACACATCCGTGTACTCCCTGCAGAAATTCCGGCAGTAGCGTCAGATTAAAAGCCCCAGCCTGTCGCCGGCAGTTGAAACATTATTCATTATTGCTGAAAAAATGTTAATAGCTCAGCTTTACGCTAACCTGCTATCATCTGATATGTGCACAACCTCCGGTACGGAAACTCCACTTCGGTGCAGCAACTGTAGCAGCCTGCAAGTGTGCAAGACCACACACACACACACACACACGTGCAGACATGGGTACACAAACACACATACATGCATGTGTACAAACACCGACATGCACATGCACACACAGCACATGCATACACACACACACGCGCACGCACGCACACATAAAATTATATACACACACATACACACACACACACATGCAGAAGCAATTGCAAATGTTCCTTTGCCGATACCAGTGAGCAGTTCTGTACCTCGTGATGTGCACGTGCATGTCCATATGCATCATGTCTGCATACATTCTTGTAACTACATGCACGCTACACACGCATGCATAGCTACACATGTGTATAGCGTGCGTGTAGCTATGCATGCGTGTAGCTACACATGCATGTGTAGCTACACATGCATGCGTAGCTACACATGCATAGCTACACGCATGCATAGCTACACGCATGCATAGCTATGCATGCGTGTAGCTATGCATGCGTGTAGCTACGCTTGCGTGTAGCTACACATGCGTGCTTATGATATGAGCATGTGTGTGATTGCACATGCATGAGTGCTCTGGCAGTTGCTTTTTTCCGCTTCCCGCAGTGAACCGGACAACATGCCGGAAACGGCATCTTTGCAGACAGACGGACAATCAGGCAGCTGGGCAGGCGGGCAGGCGGACAGACAGATCGAGACAAGCAAACAGACGGACAGATAGACAGACATACAGACACAGACAGACAAACAGACAGCTGTGCAGACAAATTGGAGACCAGACAAACCGACGAACGAACAGACAGATGCGCACGCGTCATTTTCACAACAGCAAACAGTGACGGATACGATGTCCTGTGTGTTGCACATGCTGTACCTGGCTTCTTGCAGAACAACTGATGATGGAGATGGGTCCGATTCCTATAAGCCACAAGACAAAGTTGAATGGAAATTTCAACTCGGATGGTGAGCCAATTAAATTACAGTGAAATAGGACAAGGACAAAATGTTACGAGCTATGACTACCTGTCCACCAACGTAACCAGATTTTGTAGCACTCGCTGACTGTATAAGATCTGGTTACGTTGGTGGACAGTTAGTCATAACTCGTAACATTTTGTCCTTGTCCTATTGCATGCAAATGACAAAATTTTCGTTGGCAAATGTACTGGTGGAAAGTACAGAGCGGTCACACAAACATAGTTAAACAAACGCATTCCCACACTCACAAACATAGTTAAACAAACGCATTCCCACACTCACAAACATAGTTAAACAAACGCATTCCCACACTCACAAACATAGTTAAACAAACGCATTCCCACACTCACAAACATAGTTAAACAAACGCATTCCCACACTCACAACACACTCACAAACATAGTTTTAAAAGCACGCTCCGTCGCTCATGCAGACACACGCATCCCCCCCCCCCCACCCACACACACATGTGTGTGCATGCGCGCAACAACAAGAAGAACAAAAACAGACGGACGTACCGTCTGGCACCTGAGCAAAAACTCCAGCTGTCCTGAACGTAAATGAAACGACGTTACGTCAACTTCACCCTTCGAAGACGCCGCTTGTAGCCATTGTTGCCTGTCCAAAAACCTACGTGGTATCACTGAAGAACAGATGGACAGATAGACAGACAGACAGACAGACAGACAGACAGACAGACAGACAGACAGACACACACACACACACACGGAGGAACAGAGAGAGAGACGGACCAACAGGCAAACGGACATGAAGGCAGATAAGTGGAAGTATCGTACACTCAACCATGTACGGAAAGTGGCTGCTCACCGCAAGATGAGTACCGCCTTAGCTGGCACACCGGCATGCACAGAACACCCCCCCCCCCCCCCCACACACACGCAGGCATGCCCCCCCCCCACACACGCAGGCATGCCCCCCCCCCCACACACGCAGGCATGCACCCCCCCCCCCCCCCCCCACACACACACGCAGGCAATCCCCCCCCCCCCCCCCCACACACACACGCAGGCATGCCCCCCCCCCCCCCCACACACACACACACGCAGGCATGCACAGAACACCCCCCCCCCCCCCCACACACACACGCAGGCATGCCCCCCCCCCCCACACACACGCAGGCATGCCCCCCCCCCCCCCCCTCCCCACACACAGGCATGCACAGAACCTCCCCCCCCCCCCCACACACACACACACACTCAGCAGGGGCGTCACCGGACCCCTTCACAGGGGGTGCACAGGAATTTTGCACAGGAAAACACGAAAAAGTTCGCTGATAGTGAGCTAGCCAGACGCTTTCCTTTTTCGAGAAGACGTCATTTTGAGAGGAAACAGCTCCAAAGACTCTTCAAGTGTGGTGACCTGACTAACTTACTTGCGACCACACTGAATTATTTATTTCTTCTGTTTCAAACAAACACCCAGCACGCCGACGCGCGTGTAGATTCTAGTACAAGGCCAAAGGATGCAGCGTACACGTGCACGCGCGTAAAAATTGTTATTAAAAAAATTCACGGTTCGCGTGAGACTCGTCTGGAAGCCGGGCTTTCCGCATCCGTAGGAACGCCACCACCCTTCAAGGTTCAAGGCGCAGATGCAGCTCCTAAAGCGGTGGGAGGTGAGTAGATAAGCTCGAGAATCAGCTAGATTCTACCAGTACTACACTTTTCATAACCAGGGGTTCCCAAAAAAACAAGGTCGAATTTTTTAGGGGGGGGGGGGGGGGGGGTGCACATGCCCCCGTGCCCATCACGGGTGACGCCCCTGCTCAGGCATGCCCCCCCCCCCCCCACACACCACACAGGCATAGTAACTTATAGGTCCTTTTCTCTTTACATATCACTAGTACTAGCAGAATTTCCCACCTTGCTCCCCCCCCCCTCCCTCCCCTCCCCCCCCCCCCCTCCTCCCTCCCCCCCCCCCCCTTATGTTCAGGCTGCCCGTTTTGGAGCCATCAGCTGCCTGATGATCGTAGTAATACGTGAAACTCAGAGTTGTAAGAAAGCTTCCAATCTCTCTTGTGTATTACTAGTCATATGCATGCTTGCTTTAGTTCGGTGGTGGTCGTTGTTTCACTAGGACATACCGGGTAACAGATGGTGTCTCAGATCACTGACCTACCTTTCTCTGTAGACGGCAGCTGCAGGAATTGATTGGCGGCTTGAAGAAGAGCTTTGCTGCCCATGCTGTCCGTGTCCCGCACGGCCACTGTGCCGGCTACATAGCCTGCAAGTGCATAAACAGATGTGTGTGTGTGTGTGTACGTGCGTGCGTGTGTGCATGTGTAGCATTGCCCAGACAAACGGACGGCACAGAGAAGAGATAGCTGGTGAATGTAACAGTGACAAAGCGGAACTTAATCCCGTCAAAACTGCAATAGATAATAGAGAGGTTCCGCATAACGTAATTACGATAGTAAAAAACGTAGTCGATGTACGGAAAGTCTCACGTAAACTGCATGCGCATCTGTGTACCGCCAGACGGAGTTTTCAAATCACGAAGCTGCCCTTCGCAACTCCGAACGCGGCAGTGTACGACCAGATCAACCTGGGAAGAGAATCATAAATTTGTACCCCAATCCACTTACGGAGCACCTACGTTATCAGAGCCCTATCTACGTACTCTACGTAGACAACTTTCTGTAAGTGGCGTGCAAACTCGCGAATTAACGGGTTTTTCCCGCCCACTAACGTAAAGTTGCTTGACTTTACGTAGTGCGGAACCTCTCCACTGGGAAAGTTACTGGATAATTGTGCAGGGGAACAGGGCACATTGTGAATGAACTAACGTCCCAACCATACGAGCTGGTCTTCTTTTCCTGTCTCC